GCCACCCAGCCAACGGTCCGCTTGGGCCAGGGCAGTGCCCGAGGCCTCTGGCGCCCAGTCCTAACCGCCTGGGCCTGGGGCGCGCCCCCTCCTCTGACCTGCAGGCCGCAGCTGGGCCCAGCGGGTCTCTCCTCCCGCTCCCGCGGGAAGGCACAGCCCACCCCTCCGGCCCCACCTGCCCACACCCAAGGCCGGTCCCTGCCCCTGGGGCCTCGTAGCCCCAGTGGCCTCCCCAGGGGCCCTCCCCACCTCCCCAGTCCATGCCACACTCCCCAGGGGTGGCCTTGGGGCCCCGTGGGTCCTGACTGCGTGTGTGGGCTGGGCGCGGCCGGCACTCCTGCCTGTACTTTGCAGTGACGGTCCCTTCTCTGCAGGCCCCTCCTGGACGCTGGGGCGCGGGCCGTGGGTTGGGCAGGACTTCCAGGTGGGCGAGGCTGGTCTTGCGGCCGGGCCCAGGGAGGGGCTGGGGCTGGGGCTGGTCTTGTCGCTGGTGGCCCCACAGCTGTCCCCTTGGGTGCCAGGGACAACCCAGCCGGTCAGTCCATGGCCACCGCGACACCAGGCGCTCCCAGCGCGGCTGGGGGCTGCCAGGGCAGTTCTCTCCCCCACCCCCTGTCCACAAGCCCTGAGCCACAGAAGACATGGCCTCCCTGGGCGGGGACGTCCTGACCCTTCCCGGGCGGCGCAGGATCCTACCGCCTGGCCCCACCCACCGGGGGGCGCCAGTGCCCCTAGGCGGCGGACCCTCGGCCAGTGCCAGCCGCGGCCGGTGCTGTGGGGCGTAGCTGCGGGGGCTGCAGCCGCTGCGCTGGCTTTTCGGCAGTGGCCCTGGGGGGCCGTGTCTGTCACAGGGTCTCTGCCAAGTCCCCTCCTCGGAGCAGGTTGCAGCCCCGGGGCGGGGCCCTGTGACCTTCCGCCTCGGTGCAGGCAGCCCTCACCAGCACTTGGGTCACCTTCTCTGGGATCCCGCCCCAGCTGCGCAGTGCAGAGTCTAGGAGTGGGGAGACCCTTATGGCCCCAAGATGAGGTCCAGCGAGGTGTCCTGTGACACTGCTGGCCAGGGTGGGCAGCGCAGGGACATCCACCCAACGGCTGGGCTCCTGCGGGCTGTGGGGTGGGCAGGCGTGGGGCAGGCGGTGCACCAGCCTCCAGGATACCGGCCAGCGGAGCCGCCTGCCCTAGGACTCCCCCAGGTGGGCGCCCTCGGAGGGAGGGGAGGCGCGCAGTCCCCTGGGGCCTCCCAGGTCCGGTCCTGGGCACCTGCCTGGCCCCCTGGCTGTGCTGTTTGTGCAGCCAGGGCCGACCTCTGGCTGCTGTGGTCCCCCAGCAGGCCAGGCACAGGAGGGGGATGGAGAGGTGCCCTGAGAGGGCAGGGAGGACCCGCCTGGCCTGGCCTGGCCTGACCTGGGGACTGAGCCCTGCCGGTGGGCCCTCTCAGGCCTGGGCGGGACCCCTCCTGGGATCTGGGGTGCACTGCCAGACACCTGCACGCACAGATGCCATGTGGTGTGCACGCGGGCACACGCACCTGCTGTCCACTCTGTCCCCCTCCCCACCAGCCTGCAGTAGCAACAGCCCCTCGGGCCAGTGGGGTGGGCGCTGGGGTGCCCCAGCACCTGAAGAAGGGCGAGGAGCTCCAGAGTGGGGGGGCCCAGAGTGGGGGCCACACAGGCCTGTAGCTCCCAGGGCCGCAGCTGGCGGGTCCCACGTGCTGAGGGGAAGATACTTCGACACAGAAGTCAGTAATCTCCCTCTCCACCACCGCCTGCATCCCACCCCGTCATGTGAGGCCCTCGGTATGGGGGCGCCTGGCGAAGGAGGGGGGCAGGCAGCGGGGTAAGAGGCGAGTGGGAGGCAGCTTCTGCCCTGTCAGCCCCTGCAGCCGCTCCACAGCTCCACATTTCCTCGTAAGCAGGGAGGGAGCAGCACTTTCTGCTTGGGAGACCGCCAGGCGCCCCCACAGGGGAGGTGGGGAGCAGGGACACTGCATGGAGCTGCCCTGGCATGGAGGGCGGCCAGCCTCGTCCAGAGGTGTCCAGGCCAGGGCAGGACTCCAACCAGCCCCCTCATCCCTGGCGCC